ATGGCTTATTTCACCATGTTCTTCTCCCCACCTGCACAAAGTCATGCTGCTCTGGATTTACAATATCCTACAATCCTTAGCTCACTCCGCCAAGGATGGGGGAGACGGAAGGTCTTTCCCCTGGGGGAGATCTCACCTGGTTCTGACTCTGAAAAGCCTGCTTCTCTCTGTCTCCCTGTGCACTTCTTCCTATGCCTTTTCTACCTCTTGGTTAATGGGCTAATTAGCCTTTGGGGCTCTCCACTAATTAGCAGAGCCCTTTTTAACCAGGGCTACTCCAGAGCAATGACCAGTGTGCTGCATCAGTCGTACGGTGTGTAAAATAATGCAAGAATGGCTACACCTAGCCCCCTGCTTCACCCATGTAGGGCGTGGCTCTCTCCCCCAGGGCTATGGAAGAGAGCAGGGAGTTGGACTAGATGACCGCCTGAGGTCCCTTCCAACCCTGAGATTCTATGACTCTATGCCCCTGACCTACGGGGACATGGCATACAGGACAGCTACCCCTCCTGCTCTTAAGGCAGTGGCTCCCAACCTTCCCAGACTGCTCTGCCCCTTTCAGGAGTCAGCTCTGTCTTGAGTACCCCAAGTTACACCTCACTTAAACTACTAGCTTATGAAGATCTAAATTACCAAGTGTCACAGCACAGTATTACTGAAAGATTGCTACTTTCTCACTTTTACCATATAGTTATAAAATACATCCGTTGGGATATAAAGCTTGTACTTACATTTCAGTGTATAGTCTATAGAGCAGTACAAACAAGTAATCGTGTGAAATGTTGCTTGTACTGACTTCGCTATCCTTTTTATGTCGCCTGTTGTAAAAGTAGGCAGTGATCTAGCTGCGTTGATGTCCCCCCGGCAGAGCTCTGCGTACCCTGGTTGAGACCCCCTGCCGTAAGGGAGGTGCTGTGTCCTGTACCCCCGGAGGAGCCTCCGAAGCATTGGGCAGTAGCCCCACAGAGCCCAGCCCTGAGGCACACCCAGGAGTCTGCCCACAGAGGCTGAAATGCAGCCGTCGCACCCCCTGTAGGCCCAGTCCTGGGGGCCTGAGGGGCTCTGACAGGGTTAGGCCCAGAAGCCCCAGCTCAGGGGCATGGCCTACTTTGCTGCCCTGGTTTCTCTTTGCTGACTGACCACAGCCACCCAGAGCCAGGGCAGGGCTCTCCTGAGCCTGCGTCCTGCGGCTATTTACAAAGCGCTGCTCACCACAGCCCTGCCTGCAGGCTCAGCAGGGACTTTCCAGGCCCCAGCTCCCCGACTGCCGAGTGTCATACGCAGACCCAGGGTTCAGCTGGGTTCAGCCAGAGCCTGGCCAGAAAGGGCCATGCAGGCTGCTGGGCGCTCGGCCTGGGGAAGCGGTACTGCCTCAGCCATTGGGTTTGCAAAGGAGGAGGAACCAGTGGAAAGTTTCAGCAGATGGGAGCAGGGGGCAAAGCAGGGAGGAGAAGCAGCAGCAGGGTGAGGGATTTAACAGCGGTATTTAGCTGTCACTGGAGAACTGGCTCTTCCCAGGCTGGGCACAGCACCCTCTGCTGAGGAGACCCAGCATCCATGTGGCCCCACAACAGTGGGGAGGGGGCCAGCATGGGGCTTTCAGGCCACAAGACATGTTAGTACACAGCAATATTCTGAGCCTTGGTCACATGGATGGAAGTCACAGGGGTGTGGGCTGTGCGGGGGAGGGGGGGAGTTACTCGCCCCACAGACAATTCCATCTAGTAACGAGCTCTCACTGCACAGGTACTAACCAGCACCCAGCAGTGGCAAAGCCCCAGCTGTGGGGCAGCTCCTAAAAGGGAGGCCATGTCACAGTGAAACAGCATAATGCCCTGGGGAATTCTCCAGCACAGCCTCTCTCCTGGATCCCTGACCACCCATACCGCCTCCTCATGGGCTCAGGAGCCATGGCATGGCAAGGCAGAGCCTTAGGCACATGCCACAAGGAGCCCCACCCCAAGCCTCGGAATGGCCACAGGTTTTGGAATTCACCCCCCTTGGGGCTATCGGTTCAGGCTCTTTGCAGACTCAGGCATGAGTCAGTTATACTCAGGTTACATGTTCAAGTTTTTCTTGACATCGAGGGGGGCTAGCAACAATTTTTTTTTTTTTTTTTTTTTAATGAAAACAGATTCTGGTCTCATCAAATGACACCAGGAGCTGGACCGGTGACTTGGGCTTATAGTGCCTCCGCCTTAGTCTGGCCCTGCCTGAGGCAAGCCAAGCTGCTGGGCTGAGGAGACTCAGCCTTTCCTCTCTCCTTGACGTATTGCAGAGAGCTCAGTAAAACCTGGCCTGTTCAGAATCCCCTTCTCCATCCTGGGCCGGGGAGTTGCTGTGCTGCTGCTGGCAGCCAGTACACAACCCACCCACTTGGGCATGGTTGCTCTGGGAAGAGCAGGCCCTTCCACTTGTACGCCCTGGGCAGTGACTCCCCAGAGAAGCAGGCTAACCCCGCCTTAGTGAGGGCAGGCAGAGGCGGGACCAGGCCAGGGTGCTGAGAAGGAGAGCAGCCAGTGGACCAGGGCTTTCATTCCCAAGCAAACAAGAGCGCCCAGTGCAGGCAGAGGGGAGGGTGCTGCTTACAATCGAGTGTGTTTCTGCTCTGCCATGTCCTGTTTTTAGGGGTCGAATTGTCCAGTCTCAGCCCCGCTTGCCCTTCCCACCGGGGACTGTGCGCGCTGGGTAAAATGAAACGAGATCTATTTCTTCTTGTAACCCCCTTGTTCTCCTGGTCTGGGGAGGCTGGAACTAGTTCAGAGCTGGCTGTGCTCTTACGTGGCCCACAGCCAGTGCCCCAGCCACAGGAGAAGCCATTTCTGAGAATCTCTCGTTTCTCTCTCTAAACTCAAGACGCGTCGCAGAGCTTTGCCTCAGACCTGCCCCAAGAGTTTCCCCAGGTAGGTGAAGTTGGGGAGGTCACTGCTATTGACCTGCTTTTTGTAATCTGTCTGGAGCAGATTGCTGACTCGCCGGCACAGCGGCTCCTGCTGGTCATCTGGGAATTAACTCTTTTGTAGCCTCAGAGCGCCTGCTGCTGGCCAACGTCTCATCTGCCACAGGCCCGTGTCCCTCCCAGACCCCAGTGCCCCTTACCCTGGGGGTTCTGCCCCACAGCAGTCCCCACACTCTGGGTCTCCCCTCCCAGGGGAACCCCCAACTCTCTAGGCCCACCTTGCCTCAGTGGCTACTGCCAGTCATCATCTAGCCCCCGCTCGCTGGGGCAGACTGCAGTCTGTCATGGCCACTCATCACTGACAAGGGGGTCGGACTAGCTGCCTCTGCCTATCCCCGGGCTACACCTCTGCAGCCCCAGTACCTGCTTAGGCCTTTAACAAGGCCTCAGCCTGGGGAATTGCCAGGCTGGAGCTCCCCAGCTCCCTCTGCCCTTCCCCAGCACTGCTCTGCCTCAGGTACCCTTGAGCTCCCAGGCAGCTAGACCCTTCCCACTCCAGGGGTGGAGTGAGACTGTCTTATTGTCAGGCCCTGCAGCTCTTTTATAGGGCCCAGCCTGGCCCTGATTGGCTGCCTCCCAGTCTTTTCCTATTGGCTCTCAGCCCCAGGGCTGGCCTTTAACCCCCTCAGGGCTGGAGTGGGGTGACTGCCCCCCTACACTGTCCAATTGTCTGAAAGCAGAACCCCAACTCCGGTCATCTCAAATCCAGGGGTGTCAGTACATGCCATACCCTCTGCCATCTCCATCTCTCAAACGCCAGATCATCTCAAACTCCCCCATCACTCAAACACTTGGGCACGAAGTCCTCAGCCCCCAGAAAACTCCAACCAGTGCCAAATGCTGCAGTGCGTCTCAGCAACACGGGCTATCAGGAACACGTCACACTTGTCTTCCTTTCCCTGTGTTGGCTTCCCATAGAACACAGAGTTGAGTTCAAGATCTTGGTCCAGATCTTCACTGCGCTCACGGGCCTGGGTGCAGGATATCTAAAGTTCCAGGAGCCAAAAGTTCTGGGCCAAGGACTGGTTGACAGCTCTGCTCTTCTGATGCGGGAGAACTGTTCACCACCAGGATAAAGTCCCTGCCTGTGGCATGAACTCCCCCAGGAACTAAAAACTGGCACTGACCTCACCACATTCTGTTCTGAGTGCCTGGCACACTTCTCCAGCCTGCCTTTGTTAGTACAGACCCAGAGCAACGGGCATGTGCCAACTAATGCTTTTTTTTCTTTTTTTTTCAAATCTCTACGCAATTTCCTGCTAAGAGTGAAAGGGAAAAAGAACACGCCCCATGCGGCAGATGTCAGTTAAATCACTTCATGCACCGGAAGGCAGAGGAGGAGGGCAGGATAAGAACCTGAACAGAACAGAAAGCTTTACAGCTCTGACTTGGGCGCCTCATATGGCAAACCACTAAAGCCCAAACTGAGCAGGGGTCCCCAATCTTCTTTACCATTCCAGCATCTTAGACTGATCCCAGAGAGCAAAATGCTAAGTGCAGGTGTGAACTGGCTCACGATAACTGCTCATCAGCTTGCAACTCCTTACACAATGCTCTTCCACTTGAACGTATTCCTCCAAACGTACCAACACCTACAAACCCAGCCAAGTTTGGCATTTCTATCTTCAGGCATTGGCGTTATCCAAGCACAGCGTATGGAGAGATGGCATTCTGGATGCACACATAACCCCAAAGCAGTGAACCAACTTAGCTGAAAAATTAACATAAATCCTCTTCTGTGGGTTAGAAGGGCAGGGACTTGAGCCGCCTCTGTAGCACATGCTCCCCACCTGCCTCGCCCACAGAATGTCTGTACGTGCTGCAGTCTGAACCCCCACCCCGCCTCAGGAATCCACCTCCCTGGTGGGTCAGCCATTCGCATGCTCCCCTCTGACACAGCGCTGGCTTTGCGATACCCTTCCTTTGAAGGGTGGGCTAGTGGGCAGAGCAGGGATTGGGTGTCAGGGCTTCTGGGGTTAGTCCTGATTCTGCAGCTGAATTGAGCAGGTCACTCAGCCACAAAATGTGCTTCCCCTTGCAGGCGTGGAGTGCGTACTCTTCAACGATCAGTACCTGACCTGTATGTGGGGCAACAAAGAGATGCCAACAGCCAATTATTCGCTCTATTACTGGTACTTTCCCCCAAGGTAGGCAACTCTTCTTTGGGGCTGGGCTGCTCTTACCTCGTCCTGTGGGTTGTATTCCCCGTTAGCATGACCCAAGCAGACCAGTGCGAGGCCAGTAGCCATCCTCCAGGAACTGCGATGGGTTCCCTGGGGGTGCTCAAATACCTTGTTATGCAGCATGGGACATGCTTTGTGCCCAGGCTTGGTGCAGAGCTGGAAGCAGTGGGAAAGTTTCCCTCTCCTGCCACCAGTGAGGCTGGAGGTGTGGGGACTGGCTCTGCCTGGCCATCCTGTGGCGCTGGAACGCAAGAGGGAGTGGCTGAGATGGGGCTGTAGGCAAGAGGGCACGCTGGGGGTGGTGCCCGCGGGCTGAAGGGAGGGGAGAGCAGAGCTCTCCTGCTCTTGGCACTTCTTGCAGAGTCCCTGATTGCACCAAGGAAATTTTTGGGTTCTTTACAGGGAGGGTAGGGCACTTCCACAGCTGAACCCCTAAGGGGCCAGTCTGGCAGCTTCGGGAACTCTGGAGAGTCTGCTCCTTTCATGCCATCCCAGGACTGAGTCCTCCCTGCCTGACACGCAGGGCCGTGCTACTGGCGGCACCCAATGAGGAACAGGCTTCTCTCACGGGCACTTTGTCTTCAGTGGGGAGCAGCCTGTGACACCACCCTTGGAGCCCCAAGTACCTGGAAAGGCTGGGCTCCGCACCTCAGCCCAGCCTCCAGTCTAAACAGAGCCAGCGAATTCCCCATTGGGTGACTCAGAATCGCACCAGCACTTGTCTAATGGTGCCAAACCTGCTCCTCAGCCCCAGAACCAAGCCCAGAGCAGAAGGTGCATTCAGACCTTCCCCAGGCAGGCGTAAGTCCTGAGAGAGGAGGGGCACTGCACCCAGCACAAGGGCCAGGGGCTGGGGTGCACAGCAGAGATCATTCAAAGAGCAGAGCTGAGGGCAGCATCCGTAAGGACCAAGGACCCCGGGCTTTGCAGTTTTCTGCTGTCCTTGATTTCTGAGCTCTCTCCATAACCAGCTCTGTCATGCCAGTGGAATGCAAGTACTACCTCCAGGAGAAGGGCATCAACACGGGCTGCTGGTTCAACCACAGCGAGATCATCCAGTTCCGCACCTTCAACATCCACATCAATGCCAGCCATGAGGGCAGGAGCCTCGTCATCCCCACCAAAGGCATGAAGCTGCAGGACCTAGGTATGGAAGAGCACAGCTCAGGCTGCACCTACCCAGCTCAGGCTGCACCAGCGAGCTGACACCCATGGTCCATGCTGGTGCAGAAGCTCCATCCAGGACTGGCTGCATGCCCACTCCCTCCCCCACTCTATAGTCCCAGCCCAGAGGCCGCTGCACATCAGGAAGAGGTGAAGGGACGCTGTCACTGTTGGTCACACATTCCTTGGGGGCCAGTGGGATGAAGGGGAGGAGAGAAATAACAGCTTTGCGTTATTCCAGAAATTCTTGCTTCATTAGGAGGCGCTGTTGTCCCTCAGTCCCAATGGCCTCTCCGGGTTCAAGTCATGTGTGACTATTACGGAGCAGCAGCTGTTTCTCAGCAAAGGAGAAGGGTTCACATCATAAACTCGGGTTCCACTCCCTTGCCCAACTTCCCCACAAAGATGCCAATGCCCTGAGGTTTCACATGCCCCCTCTCAACCCAGGGTGCCAGGGACGCAGGTGGGGTGAGATACACAGGAACTGGCCAGCGCCCTCCCTGTTCTGATGCCTGAGGACTTTACAGAGATGAGGGTACGGAAAGTGAGCTGTTGCTGATGAGTGTCAGCGCCGCTCACTGAAATGCCCTGGTGCCCTGAACGTCAGCTGGAACATTGGGAAATTGCCTAGTTAGAGACAGCGGTTTTCAGATCGAGCCCCTCTGAACCCCATCACCTGGCACCACTAAATGTTCCCTGGAAAAGAACCAGTAAGGGCCTGCAATGGGGCTTCTGCTCTCTGCTGGGGCACCCCCTTGTGGCTGCACCTGGAGATTAGCTCTGCCCCATCTGATGCCCCCTTCCTTTGGTCGCTCACACCACAGCCCCTCTTGCTCTCTGGAGGTGTAGTGCTTCCTCTCCGTGGCTTGGACAACTCCCTCCGCCCTGCCTCTTACCCTTTCCCCCTGCTCTGCCCCCAGCCCACCCCCATTCCACCCCTTCCCTTCCCTTCCCTTCCCCCAAGCCCCCTCCCCAGAGCGACACGGCTGGGGCCGGGGTGAGGGAAGCGGAGTGGGCTGCTCCCAGCCCCCTGCTAATCCCTCGGGCCACTCTGGGCCTGTGGGGCCCCCACAAGTGGCCCCCCACAGCTCCTGCCTCCCAGACCCTGGTGGGGGGCGGGGGGGAGGCCGGGGGGGAGCTGAGTAGGGCACCCAAATGGCCAGGGGCGGCCCTGCACCTGTAGAAGTGAAGTCGTTCCCTGTCCAGGGCATGGGACATCCCAACTGCCCCCTCCATCCCCTTCACGGGATCTGGGACTCTGAGCGGGACTGGCCGGCGCTGCGGCAGCACCTAGCCCAGCTCCACGCCCCCCGAGCCAGAGAACTGTCTGTGTGTTTAGTGAAACCCGCTCCACCGGCGAACCTGACCATTCAGAACATAAGCAATAACCAGCTGCAGCTGACCTGGGACTCCGTGTACAACAAGCCCCACTGCCTGGAATATGCTGTCAGATACAAAAGCAACAAGGACACCCGATGGACGGTAATGGCAACAAGCAGCCTGGCCCTCCTGCGGCCACCCAAGGCAGGGGCAGCTCAGAGGGGGGCCCCAAGGGCCACAGCCCGTCATCCGCTGCCCCCTTTACCCCAGGGCTCACATTCACTGGTCCCCTGCCCTTCCCAATCCCCCATGAGCTAAGGGCCACGCCAGCCTGGGGCTAAGTTAATGCTGCTGCTTCACTGCACCTCAGGACTCTTCTGGCTTTAATCACCCTTCACGTGACCCAAATGCCCCATCTCAGGCTGCAGGCCCCAACCCATTCTCCTCCGAGCCCACCACTAACACGGTCTCTCTGGGAACCCCTCAGGCACCTGGAAGCACAGCGCTGCCCAGGGGCCGGCTGAGAGCCCCCTCTGCACACAGGCCCTGGGGAGCAGCACAGACCTTGCAAGGCTCCGGGGCGCTGGGAACGAGGTTCCTTGTGCCCGTGCTGTGCCTATAGCCAAGCAGGGGACAGGGGTGGAGTCTGTCGTTTGTGGACAAAGAGCAGGGCTGTAGCTCCATTCTCCACTCATGCCTGGCGAGCCCAGCTTTGAGGAAGCCAGGCCACGTTTCACAGCAGGCGCTCAGAGCATCTCCTTGTGCGCCGAGCCGCCCACCCTGTCTCACATGCACGGGAACTTCTGTCTCTGCCCCAGGAGCACTTGGCCAGTGGCAAGATCTTCTCCTTCCCTAGCGTGGACTACGAGAAGTATTACACCTTCAACGTGAAAAGCAAGATCAGTCAGTACTGTGGCACCACCCAGCTCTGGAGCGAGTGGAGTGTCCCAGTGTTCTGGGGCAACAATGCAACAGACAAGGGTAGGTGACACCCCTCACAGCCAGGGTTTCCCAGCTGGCCCCCGGCCCTGGGTTGTTGATAAGGGGCGTCCTGGGCCCAACAAGAGAGAAGATGTTAATTATTATTATTATTTGTAGTTGCATAGTGCATAAGCACCGACTCTGTGGGCCCAGAGCTTTCCCTTGGGTAGGGTGAATCGGGGGGACAGCCCCAAGCCCTGCACTTTGGGGGGCCCCGTGCTTCAATAAAATCGGGACTGTCCCGATATTTATCCTTTGTCCCACGTCCCAACCAAGGTACGATAGGGATGCTGTTTGTCCCGATATCCAGGTGAGGAGGCAGGTGGGGAGGTGAGGCAGGAGGGCGAGTGGGGTGAGGAGGCGAATGGGGAGGTGGGAGAGGGCTGAGGCGGCAGGGGGTGAGGAGGCCGGCGCGCGAGCAAACGGGGGCGGGGGGG